GGGAATACACGCTAAGTTGACTAATACCGCATCTATTTCTAGTCCTGTTACCTGGGTAATGGTAATTTTATTTTGTTATTTTCCTTCAGTGGTTACAAAAAGATTTTCTACCTTAAATTAACCTTTAAAAATCTGAATGAAATAAAGTAAATTCAGAAACAAACTATGTCATTTTTCCAGTTAGCATCATTTCACTAATGAGCAAAATAGGGATAACAGAGGGCAGATTTCAGGAGTCTGAGATATGTTCATTCTGTTCCAGGCTGGAAATTCCTTTCTAATTTGTTCTTGCCTTTGTGTTATTAGGGGACAATTCTCCCCACTATTGTAGCTTTGACCATTGTGACTAGTAGCAATCACTAACCTATGTAGTTCTGAAGGTCTCCTGTTTTTTCCTTCTTAGTACAAAAATATAATGGTAGGATGAAATTAGCAGACATTAGTGGGACCAGGTTTTCATACCAAACTTTCAAACTTTCATCAGGAGTTTCAGTGATCCTACATTTGCTAGATTTAGTATTTACTAGTACATTATTGGTTTAGCACCTATAGGTATCTAAAAAAAAAAAAAAAAAAAAAAAACACCCCCCTCCCTTCCAGAACTGCAATTCACACAGATAGCCAAAGTAACAAAAATTCAGAGGAACATTAATCATTCGCTTCCATTCTTGAAACATGGATAATGAACAATTCTTTTCTAGAACCCAGCTTAACATCCTCTTAGCACATAGCAGCAATTCAAAGGCAGTCCCTTAAAAACTCTACCAAAAGTAAAAGGCAAAAAATGAGAATCTAAAACTACAGACTGTTAGCATAACATGAGCAGTGCAATTGTGTGCAAGCCACAGAATCTGGAGTTGGGCTTCTGGAAAGGGAGGGCAAGAAAACAGAACACTGTTTTGGATTCATTTCAGTCTCTCACCTAAGTGAAAGCAAGATGCTTTCATAGGAGATTATTTCTTATAAGAATCCTTCATCTTCCTAAATTTGGTATTCTGGGATTGAAGGAGAGGAGAGAGAAATTTTTACATAAAAATTACCAACACAACATAGTGAAAAACGTCCAGCAAGATACCAGGAGGTTTGATAGCAAAGATTTTTCTCCAGGACAACTAACAACCTCTATAATTAATTAAGTTAAACTGATACAGAAAAGATAGGAAGATTGCATCAGATAAATGGGCAAAAACTAAAAGTTGCCATCTGGTCCTGGCAGATATATGAGCTGCCTATCATTATCTGCAGCAATGGTAGGTTTCTTGGCCAGTTAACATCATTGTTCACAGTTGGTTAGAAATAATCAGCAAAAACGTCTGTATCATGTGCAAGCCCTAAACAGGCCAGTGGTCAACTGCAAAATCCTGTGCCTGGCATTACAACGCAGTGCAATACTTCTTACTCTTGGCAAGCAACCGTGTTGGAGTTCAGGCCCTCAATGGCCAGTTTTGAAGCTTGTCAACATCAAACAGCAGTTTCTTCCCCTCTTGCCATAAAGGGCTGGTGAGTGGATTCCTAAGGAAGAAATGCTGGGCACCCTCTGCTCTCTGTCAGCCTATTTGAAGGCAGTGCAGACCTCATGAATGATTCCTGTTCTTCCTTTCAAAGGGATTAATGGCAGGGAAGGACTTGAAGGCTTTCTTTTCAGAAACAAAATTACTCCGTGGCAATATTCTGCAGAGACAAGTACACATTATTGGATTATACAAGTGTTTACATTTTCAGCCTTCATTTTATAGCAGATGTCTCCCAGATGTTTACCATAGTGGTAAAGCCTATGAAAATGTGGGTCGAGACTGGTATGAGATCAGCTCCCTAATCTGTGTGTGGAATTCACTTCCCTGGAGACCCTAACTCATGGCACTTTAACACTTTTCACTAATCTGTCTCAGAGAGGTAGGATTTAATCAGGGATTCTCTCCACATCCCCACTACTTTGTAAAGAGCAAAAATTTCCTCACAGGGAACTATTTTAGAATTGTATTATCCTCCTCTGAGCAAGATCACAGAGAAGGGGCCAGGTTGGAGCCCAACCAAGACTTCATTAAACTAAAGCTTTCAACAACAGAAGGAAATTCTAAGAAATTGCACACCCAGAAATCTTACTGGACTTCAGGGAGAAAGTCTGGCTTTTTTGTCATTAAGATCCTGAACTCCAGTTTCATTTTTTTCCCCTTAGGTTTTAATTCTTTGTCTTTCTGACCTTGTATGCATATTTTTGTGCTGAGTATTACATTCACCATCACGTTAGCCCTGTTAGTCTTCAGGGAAGGTGGACTGCAGAAACAGTGACAGCAGCTTTTCAGCAATAAACGTTACAGGAATGCAAACAGGAGATAGTTTCCAAGACTTCAGAACTTGTACCCATGGTCAAAACCACACTGTGAGCAGAATTCAAACCTCCCAGGGCTTTGCTTTAATTATGAAAGACAAACATCTGAAAGAGACACGTAAATAAGGAACAGTTTAGCCTAGGAACTGTGCAACTGCACCCAGTTACACGTTCTGTGTGAAGCCTTGTAAAATGCTCGTGTCGAAGACACTGGAGATATATTTTTTGAAAACAACTGTGAAAATGGATACTACCTACTCATGTTGAATCCATAACATTTTGATATTTCAGAAGAATGGCATGCAAATTCTAAAGGAATGATATTACTAGTAAGTGCTCTTCTCTGTTTAACTCCCCAAAAGGAGTCAACACACAGCTGATTGTGGGAAGGATTTTAAGACTATGCCTGAAGAGTTCTTCTCCAAGAAGAAACACTCAAAAGACTTCTTACATAGGAAAATCTTACAAATGCCCCTTTTAACATTTCTGTAATTCTTTCTGGTGTGTTGCCAATATCAGAGAGACAATATAGAGGTGCTAAAACCTGTAGCCTACCTCTCAGAAATAAGGAACATAAGCAGCTCTACAAAACACAGTCAACCATTATCTTTTTGAAAGTAAATTCCTGTAAATAATGTACATTACAAGATGAAATTAATGTAAACATGGTTCTAAAAACAGATTTTGGGGGTTTCTTAAATCCTCTTTAAAAAGGCATCCTAAAGAACTGAAGAGTTTTCCTCTTCTGTGTCTAATAAAAAGACATGTCAATAAAGTGGCTATATGAAGGGAAACCACTGTACAAAATGGTGTTAAAAGTATTTTGACCACCTCTTGCATTTTATTTAGAGTAATTAATTGTATTATTTGCACCATGTTGCAATGTTTTTGCAGATAATTTTTTCTTTCCTTCTCAAACTGGTCAGTGCTTTTACACATTAAAAAGTTTAAGTTTGTGTCCTTTAGCAGAGAATACACACTCATTGTAATTTCAGGGATAAGACAAAAAAAATGCTTTCAACTTAGAATCATAGAACCATAGGTTAGTTTGGGTTGGAAGAGATGTTTAAAGGTCATCTAGTCTAAACCCCCTGCAATGAGCAGGGATATAGTCAACTAGATCAGGCTGCTCAGAGCCCCATCCAACCTGGCCTTGAATGTTTCCAGGGATGAGGCATCTGCCACCTCTGTGGGAAATGATCGCAGTGTTTCACCACTCTCAGAGTAAAGAACTTCTTCCTTATATCTAGTCTAAATTTACCCTCTTTTAGCTTAAAATCATTACCCTTGTTCTATTGTGATGGACCCTACTAAAAAGACTGTCCCAATCTTTCTTATAAGTTCCCTTCAAATACTGAAATGCTGCTATGAGGTCTCCTTGGAGCCTTCTCCAGGCTGAACAACCATAACTCTCAGCCTGTCCTCACATAAGAGGTGCTCCAGCCCCCGATGATCTTTGTGGCCTCCTCTGGACCCACTCAAGCAGGTCCATGCCCTTCTTATGCTGGGGGCCCCAGAGGTGGACACAGCACTGCAGGTGGGGTCTCACAAGAGCAGAGCAGAGGGGCAGAATCCCCTCCCTGGACCTGCTGGCCACACTGCTCTTGATGCAGCCCAGGATGTGGTCATTTTTCTGGACTGTGAGTGCATATTGCTGGGTCCAGCTTTTCATCCACCAGTACCAAGTCCTTCTTTGCTCTCAATCCACTCATCCTCCAGCCTGTATGGATACTGGGTGTTGCACGGATCCATGTGCAGGACCTTGCATTTGGCCTTGTTGAACTTCATGCAGTTCACATGGGCCCACTTCTCGAGCTTGTCCAAGTCCCTCTGGATGGCATCCCACCCCTTAGGCTTGTCAACTGCACCACGCAGCTTGGTGTCAGCTTGCTGAGGGTGCACTTGATCCCACTGTCTATGTTATTGATGAAGATATTAAACAGTACTGGTCCCAATACAGACCCCCAAGGGACACCACTTGTCACCGGTGTCCATCTAGACATTGAGCTGTTGACTGCTACCCTCTGGATGCAACCCTCTGACCACTTCCTCATTCACCCAACCTTCCATCCATCAAATCCATATCTCTCCAATTTAGAGAGAAGGATGTTGTGGGGGACCACGTCAAAGGCCTTACAGAAGTCCAGATGACATTCGCAGCTCTTCCCTTTTCCACTGACGCAGTCATTCAATCATAGAATCATGGTCAGGCAGGACTTGCCTTTGGTGAAGCCATGCTGGCTGTCTTGAATCACCTCCCTGTTCTCCATGTGCCTTAGCATAGCTTCTAGGAGGATCTGTTCCATGATATTCCCAGGCACAGATGTGAGGCTGACAGGTCAATAATTCCCTAGGGTCCTCCTTTCTACTCTTTTTAAAAATGGGTGCAATGTCCCTTTTTCCAGTCACCGAGGACTTCAGCTGACTGCCATGACTTTTCAAATATCGTGGAGAATGGCTTGGCAACTACATCAGCCAGTTTCCTCAGGACTCTGGGATGCATTTATGGGACTTACGTATATTCAGGTTCCTCAGGTGGTCACAAACCAGATCTTGTCTTACAGTGGGAGGGACTTTGCTCCTCCAGTCTCCATCTTGTGGTCCCTCCACTTGAGACATGTGGGAAGAGAGGTTGCCAGTGAAGACTGAGGCAAAAATAGTTGTTGCGTACCTTAGCCTTCTCCTTGTCCATTGTTACCAGTTTGACAGTCTTGCTCACTGGTGGGGTACGCTTTCTTCGACCTTCCTTTTCTGGCTGACATATCTGCAGAAGCCTGAGTGAGAATTTATATAATATTGGATGCAGCCATTACAGTTGCCTGCCTGCAGCAGACTAGTCAAATATGCTGACATTATTTTAGAAGATCACAGAATTATCATGTTAATAATTGTATCTGTCCAAAATATCATATGACAACTGCTGCAGTGTTATGTTAAAGTAACAAAATCCATATACTTCTGTTTTTTTAAAAAAAACCTCTTTTTTTCCCAGGAAGAGATGTTTCTATGGTTCAACTTTTAGTTCTGCAAGATTATATTAATCTTGAAAGAGGCACATTTCTCCATGATTTGCATGGTGGAAATAAAAGGTAAAATAGGTTTATATTACCTTGTAGACTATTGTGCAGACATTTTCTGCTTTCTTGAAAACATGAGCCAGTATGGATCACTGAAATGCCAACCAGGTCCAACCTGCTTGCATGGATCCCATGAAGAACCATGAGGGGACCTGAATCTTAGAGTGACCCCTTGGAATGTGTTCAGGGCAGGCACTACAATATTTGCTGTGCAGCACTCCACAAGAGTAAGATCCTATGTGGTGTGAAGGTGGCATAAGGTACTGCAGTAAGTCAGATCTTGGCCCCATGCTAAACTAGAAATGGGAATTTCCACCTGACATCATGTATAATAAAAGCACATACAGTTTTAATTTAGTATGCTATCACTATGGTCTTCAACGCTGTCAACACATACTACCACCTGGAAACTTAGATGTGTGAATTGTTTTAAACATCTAACAAGAACGTCACTTTTACAGGACTCTGTTCAGAAGAAAATCTGTTTTCATTTTACCTGAGGATTTATGTTTTAATTTTACTAGTGTCACCTGCTGTGGATAGGTCACTTTTCTTTGCCTGAATAAGATTTTTTGCATTTCTGAAAATTCTGTGCCTGTCATGAGAACATGATTAATTTTTTTATTGATCCTGTGCAGTTGCAGGGCCTGTCAGTACCTGAGATGGAGACGCAGTACTGTGTGGGATTCCTGTACATACGTAACTCCATATGGTGCACTGCTGATTACAAATAAGCAAACAGCTTTCAGAGTGTCCATCTCTCACCTACCTTGGCATCTGCACAATTACATCTTTGAAGTACACATCTTGCCACATTATCACTTCAATAACCAATTTTAATTGTCAAGGAATGACAGTGTGTGATCTACTTGTTTCTCCTGAGCAGTGTTTAAGCTGCTGGTATCTACTTTATGGCCCAGTTACAAAGGTCAGAATCTCAAGGTGTACAGACAGGTGTATTCTATCACAACACTACTCACTTGACATGTGTATGAATCTTCATCAGTTTTGGTTATTTATACAATTAAAATAAAATGAGAGCAAGCACGTTTGCACGCATGGAAGAACAACTTCCTTTGTACTTTCAAGTGATTGGTCAAATGTTACCCTCCCATCTCCCATCCCCCAAATTTACAGATTTAACCAAAATACAATGTACACAAAAAAAGATAGTTTATTGAACTAGACTAACTGATGTAATGCTTAGCCACTGTATTTTGTATTAACAACGCTGTTGCAGAGGTACATGAAATGACACATGGATTCTTTTTTCTGCCTGTAATTAAATCTAAACACAAGAAATAAACGACAAAAAGGGCATGCGATGCTTTCCAAGTCACATAGCTTTGATAAGACTATAAAAGATCTTGCATACCTAATAATTCAAATAAAATTTCAACTTTTTGCCTTGCCGAATTAATTTTGTGCTTTTGAGTTCTCATGAAGCTATGAAGAATTATAAACTATTAAGAGTTGCAAAGTACAAAGTTGATCAGATCTGTAACAAGAAAGTAGAGACAATCATTACAAAATACTGTCCTTTAAAAGGTAAGACATGTGAACTTACTTTGACTCAGCATGATTGACAGCTGCACAGTTGAAATAACATTATGAAAAAAACCTATGAAGCAACATCAAACAGGTCAGAGCAGCTTTTCTTTTCTCTTTTCCTATCAATACATCTCTCCTTACAGTACCATTGTGTCTGTGCAGTGGATATCTCAGGTGTTACATTTGTTTCTCTCTCTTTTTTTTTTTTTTTTCTTTTTCTTTTTTGCCTTCAATGTTTATCGGAATAGTCACTATCCAAATATTTTGGTTCATGTATTCAATTTAACCCAACAATGACAATTAAACTGCATTGTCAGTGCTTGGGTTTTGTTTGTAAAGTTGTCCCCAATGAAATTCCAGACACCACTGAAGACAATACACACTACATACGTATATTTACAAAACATTCCATCACTTTCATGGCACAGATGAATTATGCATGAATCCCAACAAGCAATCACATCACTAAAATTTTAGATAATAACCTGACTGACATTTCTGCCCTCTCCATTTAGCACTGTGGGCGATAAAGTATTTGGACAAGCAACAGGTTCAGTGGCTCCACAACCAGTAGGAAAAAGAACCAGACAACCATTTAAATACATTTCCATAACAAGTTATATGTATTAAAAACAAAAAACAAACCCCAATGCATCTTGATCTTGGATTTTTCTGTGCACATCAGATCCACCTACTGATTGTTTGCATCTATATCCTTGGAGGAATGTGGCATTTTCAGCCTAATGCATTAACAATCATGCACATACAAATGCTTTTATGCACATTTCACAGAAGACTTCTCACCCACAGTACAAGATAAACAGTACAACAAATTGAACACTCTTTGTTAAATCCTACTTACCATTGTCTTGTCAAAAAAATGCATTATGCTAATATACAATGAGATTTTTTTAAAAAAGAACAATTGCTCAAGCAGCAAGTATTATTAATTTTATCAGATGTATTCTCCAGATTTCTTTACCAATCAGTCAAACCAATACAAACTAGACCAAAACCAAATTAAATGAGAAAAGACAAGAGCAAAACGACTTTCTGGCAGTACCACAAACCATGGACTGTCACAAACTTAGTGCAAGAACTGGCACGGATTAGAACTGGGCAACTGAGACCAACCAGCAAGCTTTAAGTACACAAGTATACTGAAGAAATTCTAGATGAGCTATGAAAGAGCAGTTTCAATCCCGTCGCTTACAGGCAGAGGACAGTCAGCAAAGACTGGTGAAAAGTAGTATTGAAGTAAGCAAATATATTATGTCACAAAATTTAGCTTTGCTGGCTGAAATAGTCAAATATTTACCAGTTATCACAAGACAAGGTAATGAAGCAGGCCTGCCCTCTTCCTTATAGGATCACAGAAGTAACTGGTAGGAAGCTTCATGAATAGCTTTGCTTTGGCACCAGGTTGTGCTTTAAATTTGAACTTTAATGTAGAGATCTGCTGCAAAGCCTTTGCCTCATTCACATAGTGAAACTTCCAAAGAATGATTTAGTATCTTCCAACCGTATCAAAAAAGTTTTTATTTTCATTTGCTCTCCCCTTCCTCATAGTACCCCCTCAGAATACATTAATGATCTCTTGCAGAAGTACACCTCATTCTTTACCAAAGAAACAAAGAAAAAATAAAACATGCACAGCAGTAATAAAGTATCCAAGTAAAACCACAAGAAAATGCTGCAGAAAGAACTCTTCTGGTTCTACATCAAAATCAAATCAAGCTGTCTGGGCTGTAAAGATTTACCCTGTATTGAGAGGCAGCAAAGCTTTTACGGAGAGATGTGTGTCCTAACAAAAGATGCACTGCACTGACCTAGCTCACTTTAGGACAATCAGATGTTCATTCACCAAATGAGATCCAAGTTCTGATAAAGTATGGTGATACCAGCTGCTAAAGAAGAAATAACTATGAGTCAGACCTTCAGGAAAGACAGCAGTGGGGGTGAGGGGGAAGACCTTGAAATAGCAAAGATTTCTTACATGCGAGAGCATTATTTCAGTTACAGTAAAAAGAAGCAGCCAGCTTACAATAGGACAAGTGTAAGCCAGCTTTGGCACTTGTGTTACTGAAAATAATGTGGTGACGGTTCCCAGCTCAGGAGACAACCAGCTGTGAAGGTTTATTTGCAACAGTGACCACTTGACCACTTGAGCAGCTAGGCATTTCTTATGCCAGGGAAAGCCTGCTTGCTATTTGTAAAGCTACCCAAGTCCATCTGTTATTAAACAGAGACATGAGGTAATCGTTACTTCCAGAAGACAACTTAACAGGATACCAAGGGTGACACATAGCATAAAATTTTCAAATACATGAGCAACTAGTAGGTTTAAAACCTACATTCTCTTTTTCCATTCTAAGCCCTGTCCATTGAAAGACAGTTTAATAGCATGAAGTGAAAGTTTCCTTAAACTGGCTCAGAAAAACCCCCAAACACTGGAGCAATCAAACCCTGAACATTCCTTAAGCAAATGAACAAGTCTTTCGGGAATGACATGGGCAGAGACCACATGTTTTGTAGACCAAACCTGAGCAGAGATTGGATTTTGTTTCTTTTCTGTAAATAGACAAAAAACATATTTCAAGATACAGCTGAAGTGGTGTCAAAATAGCGATGAGCCAGGTCACAATCAGAATTTTGTATATACAATTTGTATTAACTTAAAAAAATAAAGAAGTTCAAAATACCTCCAGAGAACATTCTAGGTTAGCAAAATGTCCTGTACAAAAGTAAGCCACATCTGTTGGTTTAAAGGAAGTCCACAGTAATTGGTCTCTTCTTAGCTGATACAGTAAATGGTTTCTTCATTTGAGGCTCTCCTGCTGGAGTACCTGTGGGGGACTTCAGCACCCCATGACGGGGTTTCTGTTCAGGATTGAAAGCCACACGGGAGGGTCCTTCAGGGCTCACTAATATACTTTTGTCAGTCTTTTTAAACTCTGTTGAAAAACAAGCAAACAAGTTAAAAGAAATACCACCCCATGGAATAATTGGGCATGTCAATCAACTGGGGAATTGTCCAGACTGGGAAGTCTGCCTTAGATCCTTAAGTCCATCACTGAAGATCAGAATCATAGGATCATAGACTAGTTTGGGCTGGAAGAAACTTTAAAGATCACCTAGTTCCAGCCCCCCTGCCATAGGCAGGAACACCTCCCACTATATCAGGTTGCTCAAAGCCCCGTCCAACCTGGCCTTGAACACTTCCAGGGAGGGGGCAGCCACAGCTTCTCTGGGCAACCTGTGCCAGTGTCTCACCTCCCTCACAGTAAAGAATTTTTTCCTAGTGTCTAACCTAAATCTACCCTCTTTCAGCTGAAAGCCATTACCGCTCATCTTATTCCTACACTCCCTGATAACGAGTCCCTCCCCATCTTTCCTGCAGGCCCCCTTTAAGTACTGGAAGGCCGCTATCAGGTCTCCCAGGAGCCTTCTCTTCTCCAGGCTGAACAACCCCAACTCTCTCAGCCTGTGCTCACAGGGGAGATGCTCCAGCTCTCTCAGCATCTGTGGCCTCCTCTGGACCCACTCAAGCAGGTCCATGTCCTTCTTATGCTGTGGGCCCCAGAGCTGGACACAGGACTCCAGGTGGGGTCTCACAAGAGCAGAGAGGAAGAATCCCCTCCCTCGACCTGCTGGCCACATTTTTCTTGATGGTTAGCTTTCTGGGTGGCAAGTGCATATTGCTGGCTCATATTCAGAGTCTTCATTAGAAGCCTAAGACTTTGGGGAAAAATGAAGAGATGGTGGCGAAGCACATCTCTTAGGAGAGACCCTTTCAGAAAGGGGTTCTGTTGCAACCTACAGAGAGGCTGTGAACCATTCCCCACAATTTCACAGACCACCAAAGACTCTCAGAAACAGGTGTTCTACCTGTCCTGAACACACTTTTGTTTAAAAGCTAGTGATTGTAAGAAGTGGTTCTGTTCTGACTGTTAAACAGCACTGTTTTAGAGACTCCTGGTTATCCCTCCTGCCAGCAGGTAAGCATTTTTATTCTCTTTGTGCAGCTGTATTACATTAACATAAACACATACATCAAGCCCCACTACTCTCCCTTTGAACCTGGCCTATAGCACATCTCAAAGAGTAAAAAAAAAAAAAAAAAAAAAAATGAATACATGGAATAAACTTTTATGCTAGCAAGACATTTATTTAACAAAGAAAACTCTGCTTACACATGGGATTCAGAAGGGAACTGACATTTATCTACTCATTACCAATAATAAATCAGAGGCGGCCAAGAAAAA